GAGTCTTATCTTAATACAAACTGAAATCTTCTCTCATTCTAGGACTCTTGTCCATTATTCACTTTTTTCGGATTCCGATATCTTCGGAGATAACCTCGGCGTCACGACCAGGACACGTGGCACCTCGGTTGACACGTCGGCGCCACCTTGCTACGTGTTGGTACTCAGAAAATATATCCCCACATAAACTATAATTAATTAATTGGTCGACAATTGATTTTGATCCTAAGTCATGTAATCGCATAAGATTTGTACCAATACTATGCAATTGTCTACATGATTATATTACCTGAAGGCTAAATTTAGTGTCAATTTATTTATTTCTCTTTATGTTACATGTCTCTCATTTTTCTCATTTATCTATTTGGTTGCTTGGATATAAACTATTTTGGTAACATTGATGTGTAAAAAAGTAATATAACTCAAATAAAATAAAGAGGCGATAAATATATTAAAGTAGGTTGTTTCTAAACAAATCTACGTGTTTCTCATTTCTTTATGCCACGTATCTATAATTTTTCTTATTTCTCTATTAAGATTTAAGGTTTAAGTTTTTATTTGCTTCTCCTTATATCACACATCTCTCATTTCTTTATGCCGCGCATCTCTAATTTTTTTCATTTTCTTTGTTTAAGACTTGGTATTCAAGTGTTTGCTTACTTTTCCTTATGTCACCAGTCTCTCGTTACCTTATGTTATGCATCTCTAATTTTTCTATATACTCGGTGTCCAAGTATCTATACTATATATTAAGGAAAAGAAATTTTTAATGAGAAAAGCCTTGTGAAACTCAAAACCTTCCTACCATTTTTCTATAATTCTTAGTTTTTAAATAATTTAAAAATCTTTTATTGGCTAACTTTTATTGAATCATTAAAAAAAAAAATCTTATTATGCCTTAATTTACATATTTCAAAAGGGAAAGTTAATTAATCTATTTATAACTTTAAATTTAAAAATTTAAAAAGGAAAGTTAACTAATTTGTTTTAAATTTTTTTAAAAAAACCCTAACATACTTCTCAATTCTGACCAACTTTAGTCTGATCTTGTGTGTTTCCTTTTTATCTTCTGGGATTTGAGATCTATTCATTGTGCTCTTCTATTCTCGGACTCAGGTCCCGAGATCTTATCTTCTGAAATCTTGGATCTGCTCACTCAGGTTGAGCTCTTCTTTTCTCGGACCTACTCATCTAGGCCGAGATCATGTCTTCTGGGATCCGGGATCTGGAATTCGGGGTCTGCTCACTTAGGTTGAGCTCTCGTCTTCTCGGGACTACTTGTCTAGGCTGAGATCATGTCTTCTCGGATTCGGGATCCAGGATCTGGAATCCGAGATCTGCTCACTCAAGATGAGTTCTTCTATACTTGAATGTTATCTCTTTGGGAGCGCTCATGCCCCCTGTCTTTGTATCCCTTCTGGAAGGGTCTTCGTTCCTCCGCAGGTATCTGTCCTTCCATAACTGGAGGTCATCTTCATTGTAGTATCCGCTTCGATCTGTTGTCTTTGGTGCGTCACCTTCCTGCCGGCGTCTTTTACTCTGTGACTCTGGTCACGAGTTTCTGTGTTGCGGTTGTCCCCTTCAACGTCGAGGTTGATAGATCTCTCATTCCCAGTAGGAGCGTTGTCTCTAGTCTGATCCTTCTGTCCGTCATTGGCCATCTATTCTTCTTTCTTTCCCACAGACGGTGCTAAATTGTATGGGAAATTTTCCGATCACACTACCCGCTTAGTAACCAGCTGGAGAGCACTGGCAGAATAGATGGCACATGACTGACCTGCAACAGAAATATAAGAATCCCGCGGTGGTTCGTCCACCCAGGGGCACTCCGACGATCAAGTCAGTACATCTCTCAAAGATAAATCAAGTACTAAACTCACAAGCTTGAGTATCAAAAGCATACCTTAGACCCATGGGGGTGCCTCTCTTTTATAGCCAACATAAACCTAGTCCTAATAGAAGCCTGACTTCTATGGACTTAGGATTACTGCTAATCTTGGACTCCCAGTAAGATTAGGATAAACTCTCTAAGAGTCTTATCTTAATACAAACTGAAGTCTTCTCTCATTCTAGGACTCTTGTCCCTCATCCAGGTTGAGTTCCCTTTTCATTCTAGGACTCTTGTCCATTATTCACTTTTTTCGGATTCCGATATCTTCGGAGATAACCTCGGCGTCACGACCAGGACACGTGGCACCTCGGTTGACACGTCGGCGCCACCTTGCCACGTGTTGGTACTCAGAAAATATATCCCCACACTATCCAAAAATACAAATGTTAAACGTGTCAAATTAGTATCAACCAGCAAAATATAAAATTAACATGGATAGCTTATGTAATAAAAAATTACATACACATTTTAATGTTATTTTTGCAAAGATGTGACATATAATTGAGTTAACTCACTGAGTTAGATGGGTTATGGGAAATTTATAATTTTGCCCATTAAAAACATGGTACATGTTTGCATAGGCAATTTCTATTAAAAAAATTAATCGGGACTATCTATTGGATCAAATTGATACATAATTAAAATTTAAAATCAAAACAATTAAAATCGCAAGGATTAAAATAACATGAGAGACAAAGTATGAGAACTGCCAACATAATTTTTCCTTTAAATTATAATTATAGGTAATTCTAAACTAGTTGAGCCCATTTGTTTATTTCATTTTGCCTATAAATTAAATAATAATAAATAAATAAACCTATTTGAGTTCATCTACTGCTGAAAATTTCACATTCAGTGGCGTTTAAAAAACGTCACTATAGGTATAAAAAACGCCGCTAATTCTTTTTACGACGTTTAGTACCAAACATCGAAGATGCGGCCGTCGCTATAACGTTATGGCGCTTTAAAAACGTCATTAAATTAGCATAGACGACATTTTTAAAAACGCCACTAAATGTGATAAATAGAGGTAAAATGATGTCATCCACTTTTTAGCGACATTTTAAAAACGCCGTGATAGATTTTTTCCTATTTTAAAAATATGACCGTTGGCACTGTAGTGGCGTTTGTAAAAACGCTGTTATAACTTCTTTTCTTTCTTTTTTTTTAAATTGTTCTCTTGTTTTCTCTTAGTCGAAAGACTGAAGCAAAATAAATAGTCACTTGCCATGTTGCCTTTGGTCTCTTCTAAAGTAAATTTGTCAGAATGCTAAAAACTTCATAACCAACAGCAAATTAAAACTTCATAAACATTAAGCTATTTCTTTTGTAGTTGAATTTGTCAGAATGCTAAAAACAGAATGCTACACCACAAAATTAAACCTCACACACAAAATTAAGCACCACAAACAACCCTCAATGGGTCAGTAAGTTCAACTGTAAAAGCAATACAATAAAACTCTTCGCGACCAACTAGATAACGAGTCTTAGAAATTTCTCAATTAGGGCTGAATGAGAGGGTAAAGATATGTAGAAGTGCACCTTCCTACACCTAGTTGAGAGAACATTGTGACCTCAAAATGAGGTGATTTTACCATATTTCTATGGACTTAACAAGGATGGGTCAAAGGTACCATTTTATTGATCAAGCATTTGAACGACCTCAGCGACAACGGCTGCAAGTTCCTTCTGGATGAGATCATCGGCCATATCAAATGTCCTCCTTCGCATGGAAAGAGATCTGCGAGGAGGCTGAGGGTCTACCACATCGAGCATTGCTTCCAGCTCATCAACCATCGACCTTTTTGCAACCCACACCATAAGATCAGCACCCTAATAAAGTGCAAAATCAGCAAATTAGAGGATCAGTTTTGTTGCCTAGTGATCGGAATAAGAAATGTAAACTTGAAAACCCGTAAAAAAAAATTAATGAGTAGATCAAGAATCATAAAGAACACTATACTCAAACTTCAGCCAGTATACAGAAATCATCAATGTCGTTAGCCAGCATCTGATGACTAAGAAGATATACATATTATAGAAGTAATACAAACATTAAGCTATTTCTTTTGTACTTGAATTTGTTTTCATCAAAGCATTAGCATCTTCATGCCCTGCATCTCGCATAAAATAACAGTAAGAAGGAACCACACCATCTTTAGTTATAAGATTAAGCTATTTCTTTTGTAGTTGAATTTGTCAGAATGATAAAAACGGGAACAATACCAACAGCAGTTCTTGTGCAGAAAACTTCATAACCATCACGCAATTCCTCTACTGGAATAGTACGTTCCTCAACCTGCGTGTTCGGGGAAATTTTCAAATCCCAAAAAGCAAAAAGCATAATAAACTTGTTATCCAATCATCAGATTTCCCTGTGAAGGTTGATATATACATGAGTCTAAAGTCTATATAAATTTGTTTAATTCTAGGAAATACTCTTTCTCCATCTATTTGTTTCAACTTGTGTGATAAAGGATAGACGATAGTTATCTCATAGTTTGAATAAAATGAGTTAAATCAATTTTATTAACTTAACATTAAAACTATTTTTTGGCAATAGTTATTTTTTTCTCTCTATCTTCTTTTCCATCATTTTGTCTAGAAATCTCAAATAAATTAAATTTTTATTAAATTTTAAAATTTTCAAAAAGTTGTGGTCAAATAAAGCTAGATAGAAAAAGAATAACAATAATCTATGCATCTAAAGCTCTTCTAGGCATGCCTTCAAAACCAAATGGATAGCAGCCCCAAGACAGATAAATGAACACACAAGCCTATTGTACATGAAGGATCTCAGGAAGGATACAAGTTTCATCAAACAATATGTGCTAATTACAATGATAGCTTTTCAGGCGATGGGCAACCATCAGAGCATTATGAAGTGCCACCTTTCAAGTGAAGGATCCCAGGAAAGAATACAAGTTTTGACTAAAACCAACACTTCATGCCCCCATATGGAAAAGTAAGTAGGTTCAGCCCAACCGCTTCCTTAAACAAATATTGGATTAAATTCCTTTGATTAAAATAAAAATAAAAAAAACACACACACAAGTCATTAGATGAACAATAAAAGACAATTTGTTGTTTACTATATTTAACAAAAGTCTAAAATAATCCTAGTCTATGTAAAAACCCAAGAATTAATATGCATTTTCATTTCCATTCACTTAAAAGTGTTTTTTAGTCCTAACCACATATCACTTTCTTCAAAAAAATTAGACATACACACCATTAAAGAGTTTGTAGGCATGTTTCAACCAAAGAACAACATGATATGTGCATACAGACACCAACACTCACGACAATAACAACAATATGGCAATACCACCACCGAAAAAATGGAAAAAGAAAAAAGGCAAAAAAAGGAAGAAAAAAAGAAAAGCACACGGATTACAACAATTGCAACTTACATGCCTACTGATTGACTAGTGTATTACATGTTGACCAATGTGAACAATAACAATCATTCACCTACTAAAAACTAACGGAAGTTTCAGTCAACAAATCAGTAGCACACAATGACAATTGTATTGCATTATTATTCATAAAATACCTATAAAGCATACCTGAATGAAGCATGATAGCAACCTATAGCCTTCTCCATTCCACCACTGCTTAGTGATGCACATATAAACAAACACACAGATACATGGCTTTTGAAGACATTCATAGTTTGATAATATTCTATATTTTGTGCCTACTAAGTATTACACTCCTGTAAATCTAAAGAATGGCCCTTTTGTTGTGTAGTTAATATTGTAGGCACACTTATTTATTAAGTAGGTAGTAAATGTTTACTAGCAAAAAACACTACCTTAAAGGTTTCTGTAGCATCGGCAACAACGTCGAAATTTGGAAGTTGTATATAGTCAAAAAACTTCTTCATATTTTTTGATTTTAAAACATACCCCTGAGAACAAAACCAAACAGACCAAAAAAATTACCATATAAAGATTAAAAGAGAAACAAGATATAGAATTAAAGCATCAGGAACAAGAAATTCAGAAATTGACTAGAAATGCCTCCTTTCCATTTCATCCGTAAATTCTTATTGAATGAATCTGTGAGACCTAACTCAAGAACAACAATACAGCAGAATAGGTAAAATTGGTGTTCTCCTAAAAGAGAGTCGTCAGTACAACCAAATTAACAATGATATGTCAAAAAGATAGAACAAAATAGTTTAAGTAAAAGATTGATTATAAGGACAAGGGGAGAAGAAAAAAAAGAAAAGGAAAAATAGGGGAAAAGGAAAAAAAAGAAGAAAAAAAAAATCAATTACCAATGTATGCTTTCAAACTGCTTACCTTGCTACACTTTGATGATGTATACACTACCTCAACATTCCACCATAATGTAAAGCAATGCCTAGATCCTCGTACCTAAACAAACATTAGAGTAGGTAATGAATTTACATGCAATAAATAACGTAGACATACACAAGAGTTGCTAAATAACCCAGATATTAAATGGTCCGTGATATCTAAGTTAGCTTCCAAGTAATCAGAAGCAATCAAACGTGAATAAACCTGCTGCCTCTGTAGATTTGCAACCACTAGGGTGGCGTCCTTACAGGCCTATTAAAAATAATCTTTTCATAATAAGCAACAGCAATTAAGAAAATTAAACAAAACACAGAAGTATGAGTGAGAAAAAAATATTCATTAACTCAACCATGAAGAAAATAGACAAATAAATTAATGAAGCTAATTCTATTTTGCAACTTGACATAGTTACCTACCAATTAGATGATATTTCATACTCAATGGAGATCAATGGTCCTTGCTTTTAAAACACACACATAATTTTAATTGGATTTATTAAGCAATTTTCACTCTGCTAAGATGTAATGAAAGGCTGAAGTTACTAAATTTACACTAAATTACACCGACATCAATTGAAAGAGTCCATAATTACCTTAGTCTTGGTGAAGAGATTGCTTTTCTCCTTCAAGAAAGTAGGCACGATCAGAGCCTTCCAGCTCTAATTTTGTCTATTCAAATAGAATGTCACCTACTTAGGTCTGTCTATGGTTCTATCTACTTCCACTACAAAAACATTACAGACTGCATGCTCTCCTTGAACTCATAAAGAGTTGTAGTTCACAACTGAGATGAGTTAACTGCTCAGGATACATATTATTCCTGCAAAAACAGATCAAACCAATTTCAATTATAGAGATCATATGTAACATATCTAAAGCTGTTATAGAAAATAGATTTAACAAAAGTCAACCCTTCTTGATTCAGCACAGTTCTTCATCCCAACAAATCAAATTTAGTTGGTGAATGAAGCAACTTGTGATTCTACTATATTTTAGGTAAATAATTGAAGCATCAAGATTTTTTTTTAATATTTCTCGTAAAAAAATTTCCATTAATACAAAGAAACGAAGTGGTTTTTTCTGACCAGAAAAAAAATAAAAATAAAAAATCTAAAAAATTACCTGCGTCACAACTTAATACAACAAAAATACATTTGATATACATATATAAAGAGTTACTGTTTTTGTTGCTGAATTTAGCGAAACACTCATGAATGCACATACAAAATAAATATATATATATATATATATATAACTTTAATGGCATCTCCATTGGAGCACCCGACTACTATAATATAGCTATGATAGCTCAAATAGCAACCCCATTGGAGCTGCTCTGGGAGGGTAAAAGTATGAGGCAAAGGCATCTTAGAAGGAAAAAAGCTAAGGCATAAGACTGTTACTTTCTCCTATACGGAGAATTTATCTTTTTAATAGGGGCAAGCATCTGTTTTACAAATGACAATAAAGGGATGATTGGTTTGAAACATAAAGATCCCCAAATCCTCTGTTTCACAAATGAATTGTAATAAGCTTCAATGGAAATAATGTGCAGCGATGCCCATCTAAATGTGCATTAACTTACATGCATCACACTAAATCAAGTCAAAGTAATATGATGAACATACATAACTATTGAGAGATTTGCTTATACTTAGAAGTCCTGAAGGATTAACGCTATGTTTGGATTGAGTGATTTAGAGAGAAAAGAAAAGAAATAGAGAGATATGTATTTCTCTTACTTGTTTGGATAATCTAAGTAGAGAGAAATGGGAAGAAATGGAGAGAAATGGAGAGAAACTCATTTCTCTTATAAGCCTCATTTTCAATCTTCCCAAAAGTGGAGAGATTGGGAGAGAAAAGAAACCACTATTTTCATAATACCAGTTATGTCCCTATAAAAATAAAAGAAATGAAATGATTGAAAATATAAAAAAAGGTTATTTTGGTAATATAACATAAAATAATTTCTTTTCTTTTCTCTTAATGAAATATAACCAAACAAGAATGAGAGAAATCACAATCATTTCTTTTCTTTTATTTCTTCTTTATCCAAACAAAAAGGAGAGAAATAACAATCATTTCATTTCTTTTCTTTTCTTTTATAACTTAAGTAATCATTTCTTTTCTTTTCTCTCCTAGATTCCCAAGCATAGTGTAAAAGCAGGAAATATTAGCTACTGTAATGCATGTAAAACTTATCAACATTTTTCTAGCTAATTAACCCTGGTTACTAATTCTACCATCACAGCTACCAACTATGACTGAGAAAGGCTTTCTATGAAGAAACTAAAAGTTCCTACAATGCTCTAGATAGATTATGATAGATTCAAGAAAGGCATTGCTCTCTTAAATCAATCAATAAAGACCAAACTACTATGAGTTCCATAAATTTAGTGGCTAAATCCATCCCACTATAATTCATAGTTTCTATTGTCTCAAATTTGAATTTCACTTGCTCTATCAAAGTTATCAGTTCTTTATCAAGCAATTGCCCTGGATATGACACATGACCAATGTTGTAACCATAAGCTACAGCATTATACAGTGAAAATCATGATATCTGAAAGCAAGTCCCAAATGATTGGAAAGACTTTTTATTTAGTATTGCCAGGATGACTACCAATTGTTATCATTTGATCTTCTATTGTCGGATGTGGCTAATGGACCATCACTTTAAGTAGGTTGCTCAGATTTTAGGTTTTGCATCTTGGTATTAAATGGAAAAAGACATAAGAATCAAACGTTTTTGAAGTGAAAAGAATTTGAGACAAATTTATAAGCTCATCATAATGTAATACATGTTGGTGCACATATGGCTAAATCAACATATGTGCACCAACATGTATTACATATATCACGAATATCTTTTATATTGTATGTACACATATAATTTTCTGCCATTTAGTTTGCTACTAAGATCAATGTAGAAGTCGATATGATGAATTTATCTTCTTTTTTTTAAACTCTTTATACAGTTTCAGGAACATTCACAGTAGAGAGCAGAATTTGCTCACTCTCAAGTCCCAATCAAGGACAGGAGGTATACTCATCCTCAATGAAAAAGTTATAAAACTGATCATTTGCATAATAAAAAATCATCAACAAGATCTACTACATTTCCTTAATTGTTCAGTTTCAGATCAGTTAAGAGATATAAATTATACTAGGCAGCAAAGAAACTATAAAGTTCAAAATTAGTTGAAGCTAAAACATGCAGCAAATGGAAGACATACTCCCGTTGTGATTGTCAATCCATATTGGATCTTAGATTTGGGGAGGGATTTGTTGGGATTTTTCTGGGACTTGAGAGAAGTTCAATGTGGTGGGTTTCATAGATTTTCCATTAAAGCACATAAATTAGAGACTATTCCAATTAGGAACACAAGAACTTGAAGGTCTGAATGAATAAAATTCAAGAACAATTTTTGTAATGCTCTCCACTCAAATGAAAAACTTGAAAAAGAAAAAATAATAGGTAAAAGAAGGATAAAAAGATGAAAAAACAACTTTAAAGCTTAAATTTTTTAAAGTGTCTCTTTGCACAATTTGATCTACAAAAGCTTCAAATCATGTTCAGCTAAATGGCAACAAGCATACACAACATGGTACCATCATGACAAGTATATAGACCATACCGCTTTATATTGAAATTTCAAACAATCAAAAAAAAGTATATCATCGTAGCCTTGACATTCAGAACAAGCCTTGCACCATTAATAATGACAAAATGAAAAAATAACACAAACCTTTCTGGAAGCCGAGCACTTGAACTTTGATTACTAGATGAAGTGTCCGCAACACCAAACATGATATTGCCATCACAGCAAGAAACTTACAGTGCGCTGCCTTGAAATGATTTTAGACATGTGACTTAGTTTGAGGTGTTTCTCCTCTTTCCCCGAGAACCATATTAGTACAGATTCATCCTGAAAGCAATAACACCACAGCTTCTAAATAATTTTAGCAGTGAAACTCTACTTTCAGTGAAATACAAATGAAGGAAGCTATTGTTTGACAATAACACAATTAATGGCAGGTGATTGAGTATTAAAATAATTTGAAAATGAATATAAAAGTAAGCATATACATAAGACAATTATATAAAAATTAAGACAGTCATCAAGTATCATTTAACCAGATGCCCCTATGCAAGCTTCTGTTATATTCTACAATTTCAAATTGACAAAAAGTGAAGGTCTGAATATCTAATAACAAGGAGCCACACACCAATATAAGGAGCAAAGCTACATGGCTATGTATCCCACAATCCATCTAAGCTAAAAATGGTAAAACTTTGGAATCAAGTTGTTACAGTGAGAAAGAAAGAAGCATAAACATTTCCTGCTCAACTAAGGATTTTCCCTCATCTTAGTATATTCCTGTAACCAACGAAAAGCTTTTTAAGAATCTATTATTGTTTAATTAGTCAAGCTGCGTAATCCATCCAGTTTTCCATAGAAAAGCAAAATGGATGCATGTGTGAACTGTGATTATTATCCCATATCTATATCCAAGTCAATTCATATTTAATATGAGAATTTTGCTTCTTTAGAATTTATGTCTCCTATTACTAATGAAAAACTCTAATTAAACTACAATGCAAATGCCAAGACTTGGGCCCACTTTTCCAGCACTTGAAAGACAATACATGCATCAAACAAAGGTCAAAATCAATGTAAGTAATTCCCACAGATTTCTCCAGCACACAGAAAATACACATCTTACAAAGTCAAGGTCAAATTGTACCTCAAGATCATGGCGCCAAGCTTGATAATTGGCAATTTCAAAAAACATAACTGGTGGTAATCCAAAAAATAATATATATATATATATATATATAATTTGCTTAGGACACAGCAATCCCCTGTTTCCTAATCTAAGTTAAGAAAGGTCCCAAAATGATAGGCTTAGGTAAATGTCTTCTACCATGCATGCAGTAGCTTCTTACAAATATAGACAACCTCCATCTCCCTAAACCACAAAGTCAATGTTTTACATATCCCTAACTAGACTTCGTAAAGATTAAGTTAGGTGCCCCAACCATCTGTTTCAATCAATACTAATTAGTGAGAAAACATGACTTGGAGACACTTTCGAAACTTTGCAACCACAACATAACGAAGTGACCCTCCACTTTGTGGTTCAATATAGTTTAAATTTTCAAACACAACCAAGATGTGATAAATGGAGTAACTCATTGTCAGTGGCATACCGCAACTGGATTACTAAAATAACCGTACACATAAACCTAACACATGAAGGGCTGCCAAGAACTCAAAAAGACACACAAAACCCTGACTGCAAAAAATAAAATTTTCCCAAAATATATTAACCAATAGAAAGTAAAATTAGCAAACTCTATGACTCATCTAACTCTGGCATTGCAACATGTTAAGTGGACCACTATATTAGCTACCAACGTAACCAATGACAAATGTCGGCAACACAATCATAAATCAATACATCTACTACATTGTTCCATACATAAAACAGAAAATCCAAGGGCATACTACGAAGCCAGTAACGCCATGACAAAATCGTTACCTTAATTACGAATGCCACAAATCGACGCACATTATCCAAAAATTCCAACTATTTCAACGACATAACCACGTATAACAGCCACACACCATAGACCACACTGTTCCCTGCATACTTTACAAATAAATTCATGCCAAGTTTAGAAACATAAAAGCCCTAATCACATAATTGTCATAGATTTAGTTACATTATTAACAAATAAGGTTTCAGAGCACAGTCCCTAATCAATTCAAGACATCAAATTGCATACAATCACCAAGAAGCCTTCAATCAAAAACCCTAAATTAATTCTCATAGCAGATACACAAACACATATGCATATATAAATGAAGTCATTAATAAACAATTCGATAAATGAAAAACCAAATTTCAAAACCGTTCTCACCTGACGTCACCGCCACTTTTGACCAGCTGTGCCGCCGCTGCCGCCAGAGAACCGTCATTTCCTTTCCAAATGAACCTGGACCAAAGTCTCCAACCAACCGAAAATGCCGTGAAGGCGAGCCAGAACCTCCAAGCCCCGAACCCCGGTGGCGCGGTCCAGGTGAACCGGAGCTTGGAGCGGTGACCGAGATAGAGCAGACCGGTCCACCTAGGGCGCCAGGACCAGCCAATAACAAGGCCGATCATGACAGCGAGCCAAATCGGGATTGAAGAAAGCAAAACGTCGAGGAATGTCTCAGCGAGGCGTGGGCAGTGTAGAAAATAGATCAAATCGAAGAAGCTCTACTCCATTATTGATCGGTGTCTATACAGATATGTGTATGTACATGAGAGAATCGATAAATATACATATATGTATATGAATATACAAAGTGGAAGAGATAAGGAGATGAGGTGCTAAGCCTTGGAAGCTTGCATAGATGGTGGTGGTGGTGGTGGAGCTTTGAAATCAAGAGAGAGAGAAATCGAAATCGCTCTGAGATGAAATCAAAGATGAATCTCTGAGAGAGAATCGAAATCGGGGTGGCAGTGCAGACCGATCTGAATCGAAATCGCAGTGGCGGTGTAGATCGATCTGAAATCGGTGAATCTGTGAAATAGGTAAATCGGTGAATCTCGCTACCTCGCCGGTGCAGATGGTGGTGGAAGTGGAGCTTCGAAATTGGTGAATCTGTGAGATTTGAATGTGAGATTTAAAATAAGGGTTTAGAGAGGATTGAGAGAGAGGCGACGTGAGGATAAGGGTTTAGAGAGGATTGAAAGAGAGGCGCGACGTGAGGATAAGGGTTTAGAGGATTCAATGTTTATGTCTGAAGACCTGAGGGTTTACAAAGCTTTATTCTCAGATTCAAAATAGGCGCGTGTGATGTACAGCATTTGGAGGCGCTTTTAAACGCCGTTGATCATAAAACGGTGTCGTTTTAATTAAATAAATATGCGACGTTTTTAAAACGTCGTTAAATATTAATAAAGATGACGTTTAAGAAAACGCCGTTAAAAAAATGTTGCAAAAACCCTTATTTCTTGTAGTGAATTTGCAACCTTAATATACAATACATCATCCAACCACCTACTCATACAATTCTTTTATGAAAATGTGACCATCAAGAGAAATTTCGTTAATTAATTGGATTTATACGATTTGGTCAATATGAATGGAAAAGTAAAACAAGATGTCAAAGAAAGAGAGGGTGTGAATCAATCAAGCTGTCACTGCCAAAAGTTTGTATCATGCCCACTTACCCTTGGAAGTTTGGGAAGTAGGTTGATTTTTTGACTTTTTAATTTTTTAGTTATTTTAGTATGTGGTTAAAAAGTTTTGTTTGGAATAGGTTTTTTGGTTTTTTTGACTTTTATGAGAAAAAAAATGAAATAATTATGGGTTAGATGTGATATTTTGCCTTACTGAACTAAAAAACCTATTTTGTTTTTTGTGGTTGAAATAGCCCTAAACCCAACACAACCTAACCCAACCCAACTCTTCTTTCCAAACAAGTGCTAGTGTTCTAGTAGCACCATGTGTTTACATTTTTAACCAATCACTAATTATTAAGTATTTTGTTTTTTTTATTACCAGCAAAAAATCAATGAACGTCAGGAAGCTAGATGAGCAAGTCCTTGGCTATCGCCGGTTTGTGACCCATTTCGGCAGAAGTGGTGGCGACGGTAACTCCGGTATTGAGTCTAAAAGCGGGAAGTGCAAGCGGAGGATTCGCAAGGTCGTATGCCGGAGTATCAACACCTTGGCGCTTCCTACTATGCGTCCTCTCGACCTGTGCATTAGGAGATCAGCGACGACGTTGGTGTTAGGTTAGTGAAATGTGTTATGTAGCTGATGTGGATAGCTAGTTCACTAGGTCAGAAGTGGAGGCTTGGTCTGTTCTGGGAGAAGATGCAACGGGTGGAGTTGTTATAGACGGTGAAGTTCTACTCTTGACAGGGATGTTGGGTAAGGGGAACCGGTATGTCGGTACGTAATTCAGAAGGATGAGAACCTTACAGTCTTGGACAGGTAAGTCCAGAAGCCATCTCAAGTCGGGGCTCAAGACATTAGACTTCCAAAACAATTTGCTTGGCTAGAGAACCACTGCAAAACAGGGTAAAGAAGAAAAATGTCAGAAAATAATTAAGTATGCAATGCAATGTTAAAAATGCATGGTTTGAGGGGATTAACTTTTTATCCTCATCTTCCCAAAAAGCTCCTCAGTGCAAAGGGAAGAGGTGGATATCATCATCTGGTGCAGACTCCTAATTGCCCAAGACAATGAGATAGTCTTCTCCAGCGCCCTTGTTGGAGTTTGGAAGGTCGGCTATCAGTTTGTAGGCAGTAGATCGGGGTTTGAGGTAATAAGTGTAGCCACTGGTAGATTTGAGGCTACACATGGTATAGCAATACTAGATGTTGGCAAAGGTGATTCTAGCGTTATGGCGGCATAGCTCGGCTATACCATTGATAACCCTAAAAGTGTTAATGGCTAATTGCATAGGGTTAAGTTTATAGAAGTGCAACACTTCTCTGAAAAGAATGTCAAGGGGGAATCAGATTCCACCCTCAATAATGGACACCACGGGGAAAGGCATGTAATTCTCCTCAGGCATCATAGTGTCATTCTCTCCGGTAAGCCTAATACAGACGTCGGCTGGGATGTTGAATTCTTAGCTAAAATATTCGAGTTTGCTAGGGGAATCTACTCTCCACTTAAACATGCTCATGATCTCGGCTAAAGGGTTTTTTTTATGGTTTTCAGTATGGGAGTGTTTTCCTAATGATAGAGGGATCTCGGCAAGACACAGAAACAGGGATTCTGGTAATCTAATGAAGGTTTTGGATATGGGCAGTTTCAATTTTCCTAAAGTGAGTAATGATCTAACAAATCCCAAGCCCAAATCTATGCAAAAAACAACCGAAATAGGCAAGATCAAAGGAAAGAATCTGGAAACAGGGAAAGAAACAAAGAAAACAAATTCAAAGTTCGAACAGAGGCAGTGATAACAGCAAATTCAAAAGGAAAAGGCAAGAACACATTCAAAGCATGAATTGACACGTGCAAGAAATACAAGGGATTGAGGGTGACGTTTGCGATAGTCCAATGCCAGTGTATAAAAACCGAAAATATGATGTGTAAAGAACATATACGGACATAGAAAGCGTGGAGGCATACTCAAAAATTTGATGAACGATAAAGAATCAAAGACTGAAGTCAAAGAGGGAGAGAAAGGACTTACAGATCAGAGTCGCAGAAATGGAAGCTAGAATCAAGGTCCCCAAAGTCAGATGGTGCTCTTAGTCGGAGTTGAGTGACAGAATTGGAGTGTTTGGTGGCACTTTTTTGAGCCAACTTATGGCTTCTACTTGTTAAAAAGTTATTTTAGATTGTTTGGTTAAATTTATTTCAAACAATTTTTGATTTTAACAACATATTTTAAGTCAAAAAAGCTGATTCTAAGAAGTTGTTCACCTCAACTTCTATTGTGGACATATTAATTCACGGTTATACTGTTAGATTTTTTTATTTTTTCTTTTTTTAAAAATAAAAAAAGACCCAAATGGACTATAGAATATTAATATTATTATTTATGAAAAATGTAAGTAAATAGTGAATAATAAAAAATAAAAATTAATTAAGAAAGTTACTTCACGGCTTATTCAATAAACACTACGTAACTTAAATTTATAATTCAACAGTTACACCAAACAGATTAACAGTTTCTGATTAAAATCATAATCTATAATCTGTTAAGTTATAATGTATAATCTGTTTTAACAGTTACACTAAACAGACCCAATGCTCACCGGAAGTGATGGTTGCAGAGAGCTTCGAACGAGCAATCAAGTGTAATCTGTTGAACTCAAGCCCCGCCAACACTCCATTCTCGTCACACCCCTACACTCTTAATCATGTCAATGTCATCTTGGGCCACCCCTAACCTCTACCACTTGCCCAGCATCTCCCTATATTTCACTCTCCTCTCGATATATGAGTTATTTGTTAACTCACTGAATTAGATGAGTTATGGGAAATTTATAATTTTGTCCTTTAAAAACAAGATACATGTTTTTTGCATAAGTAATTTCTATTAAAAAATTTAATCGACATTATCCATTAGACCAAATTAATACATACTTAAAATTTAAAATCAAAACAATTAAAATCGCAAGGACTTGTATGAGAATTCTAAACTAGTTGAGCCCATTTGTTTATTTCATTTTGCCTATAAATTAAATAATAATAAATAAATAAACCTATTTGAGTTCATCCTGCAATTTCAACCTTAAAATACAATGCATCATCCAACCACTTACTCATACAATTCTTTTATGAAAATGTGACCATCAAGACAAACTTCGTTAATTAATTGAATTTATAAGATTTGGTCAATATGAATGGAAAAGTAAAACAAGATATAATATTCCCTCGTGTAAAGAAAGAGAGGGTATAATATTCCCTCTTGTGTAAACAAAGAGAGGGTGTGAATCAATCAAGCAGTCACTGCCAAAGGTTTGTATCCTGCCCACTTACCCTTGGAAAATTATTAAGGGTTCGTTTGGTTTGTATTTCTGAAAAAATTTTGAAATTTTTTTTTTATAAATAAGTTTTTAAAAATAATCAAACTAAACAGGACCATGGATTCACATAATTAAATAACAAAAATATATATATATATATATATAATACTTTAATTTTATAAAAATAAAAACATAGCGCTATATTAGTTCTACAATAGCAACATGTTTTTCTATAATAGCGACATAATGTTTTAGAATTTAAACAATCATAAAAAAACTGATTTCACCATAAGTATTTAGACCATTACAAATTAAAACTAAAAACTAAAAAACAAAAGTAATAAAAGAAGATATTATACGGTTTTAGGTTTGAGTTTAGATTTTATATAGAATAAGAGAAGATACTATGGGGGAGGATGTATAATAAAAATATATACTATTTGTATACGGTCCGGATCGGTTCCAATCCGGAACCGTGAGATTCAATCCGGAACCAATCCGTGAACTACGGATTTTTAATTTTTCAATCCGGAACCGAACCACGGATTCAAAAAACCAATCCAAACCTACTGGATTGGACTGGAATGGATCAGATTACGGATTTCACGGATTCCTTGGTCAGCCCTACAGCATCTCCCTATATTTCTCTCTCCTCTCGATATATGAGTTATTTGTTAACTCACTGAATTAGATGAGTTATGGAAAATTTATAATTTTGTCCTTTAAAAACAAGATACATGTTGTTTGCATAAGTAATTTCTATTAAAAAATTTAATCGACATTATCCATTAGACCAAATTAATACATACTTAAAACTTAAAATTTAAAATCAAAACAATTAAAATCGCAAGGACTTGTATGAGAATTCTAAACTAGTTGAGCCCATTTGTTTATTTCATTTTGCCTATAAATTAAATAATAATAAATAAATAAACCTATTTGAGTTCATCCTGCAATTTCAACCTTAAAATACAATGCATCATCCAACCACTTACTCATACAATTCTTTTATGAAAATGTGACCATCAAGACAAACTTCGTTAATTAATTGAATTTATAAGATTTGGTCAATATGAATGGAAAAGTAAAACAAGATATAATATTCCCTCTTGTGTAAAGAAAGAGAGGGTATAATATTCCCTCTTGTGTAAACAAAGGGAGGGTGTGAATCAATCAAGCGGTCACTGCCAAAGGTTTGTATCCTGCCCACTTACCCTTGGAAAATTATTAAGTGTTCTAGTAACACGATGTGTTTATATATTTAACCAATCACTAATTATTAATTATTAAGTATTTTGTTTTTTACTATCAACAAAAATCAATGAATCTTACGCTCTTTATCAATTACCTTTAATTTAAAGCACCGCGTGATTGTACCGAGAAACACCAAATAACTTCTCCGGGCATAAGATTAGGCTTTGGCTACTTTTCTTCCTCCACTTTGATCACTTGCATGCAAGTGCCTTACGCCACCTAAAAGACAAAAAGATATGTCCCCATCTCCCATTTCTCTTTTCTTAATATTACAGCAAAGTTAAGTGAGCGAATGTGCCCAAATAGGCTTAGAATTGATAAATTAATCAAACAAGTCTTTGTTTCATGATTCGTAAATGGGGCATGAGATTCTCTCTCTAAATTTAATCATTTCTCTCTCTTAATTTATTTTAATTATTAAATTATATTTTGAGATTTATATGTTTCAATACAAAATGTTGACATATGTAGTTTTTTAAAAATATATATCGTTACGTATTTCTATAATATATATTATGTATTTTTACGTCAAATGTTACATAATCTTTTATTACGTTTGTGGTTCAAAATTTTGTAGTAATGATAAGTAACCACAAATTATCGTAACTCTATCAGAAGATTAGATAATATTTGTCACAAAACTATGCATAATGTCTGCCACATAAATTTGTAACAAGTTGCATACTACACACATTGTACACTGAAATTTTTTTCTTTTCCATAATTCAATAATTAAATAAAATACATTAAGATAACAGGAAATAAATAATTAAGGACATTGTGGTTTTGTGAATGTGCATGAATATGATAGGCATGTTACAATGCACCAAATTGAAATACACAACGTGACATTATTGCTCGGCCATAAAGTGCCTGTTTGGTGCAGCTTAAAAGCTGCTTATTTCAGCTTTCAGCTTAATTTAAGCTATTTTGATGTGTTTGGTTTAGCTTATAGCTTATAACTTATAGCTTTTTGGAAGTCAGAAATCAGCTTATTCTTTGAGTGAGGCAGGAGATGCTTAATTTATAAGTCAGAAATCAGCTTATGTTCATAGTTATAAACTATAAGCTATTTAGGCATAAGCTATAAGCATTTTTTCACAGCTCTATCAAACAGGGCCTTTATCAAATTGGGTGGGTTTGAGTGATTACTGACAGTTTAATTAAGGACATTGTGGTTTTGTGAATGTGCATGAATATGATAGGCATGTTACAATGCACCAAATTGAAATACACAACGTGACATTATTTGATTTGTCTAATTCTTTGAAATAAACTACACATTCAGGCCAGCAGCAACATGCACACGTGTTTTCATTAGCATGTGTGTACATTCAAATTTTATGTATTGTAATTCTCAGTTGCTCTTCAACATTATATAATATAAAAGTATTAAAGAAATGAAATAAAATAAAATAAAAGATGGAGAGGATAATATAATTTGGGACGCAAGAAAGTTAATTTATCAACATATTATAGATCTAATTACACAGAGGGAAAAACTATAACAAATAAAGGTTTTAAAGATAAAAAATTTTAGATGAAATTACCTTTTAGGGATGAAATATTTTAGTTGCCAAAAGTATCATTATTATATTTTTAAAGACGAAATTGAATATTTAATAATGAATTACTATATTTTGAAACTAAAATTTTTGTTAAAAAATAAACATTTTTAGCACAAAATTGTTTTGTCCCCTAAAACTAAATTTATTAGCAATATTTTTAAAATTTTATCGTTAAAAGTGTTTTTTTTTTTTATGCTGTAGTGAGAGAGAAAAATATATTGATTAAAATATCGGCGATGATTCAAAAATACGAAAACCAAAAAACTGAGTTTTCAAAAAACTTAATCCAGAAAACTCAAACCAAACACACTAATTAGTACATATTTAAATATATATATATATATAGAAAAATATTTAAAATATATAGATTAAATTTATTTTGAATGTTACTCATACCATATCAATTTAAAATTTACACTAAAAATTTAAATTCTGTACTTTTTTTCATTGTACTTGGTATTTTTATTTCTCAATTTTGGGTGGACTAGTTTGTTGGGACCAATTTGTGTAAAAGTTTCAGGTTGGGACAGTCATTATGTTTTGGGATATATAATGCATGCATGTAATTTAGTCAAAGATGTGTGATGAACTCAGTTATATGTCGTGGTCACAAATAGCTCTGATTCATTGGTTGTTAATAATAAACAGAGTAGGAATTAGAAACAACATCAAAATTGGGAATTTATACAAATTAAATATATTGGTGAAAATGGATACATAATCTAGATTCAAGAAATTGTGCTATAATATCACTATGTCATATTCAAATTAAACTGATTTAAATCTTTCTGTTTTCTTCTTCTTCTTCTTCTTCTTCTTCTTCTTCTTTTTATTTTTTAACTTTTTTTTTGTACAAATCGGTTTTATGGATTTTCCATCAGAAATTTTATAATCTCAATCACAAAATTAAGACCATCAATTTAATTTAGAAGGTCATTATTTTTCAATGCAAAGATTGATAATTTTCTTCCCTATTATAAGGTTTTGTTGTGTTGTTTATTTCTACTCCATTATGTGACTATTTCTTAGGTTG